CTCTCATGTCTTATGGTCAGTGTCGTACTTACTCTGTCTAATTGACCAAATGCCGGTGTTTGCGTTCACTAAGATACATTTGCCATTGAGACAGAACTTAAATTGGTTTCTGAGATTTTTAAAAGTGCATGTACAGAAGGAAACATCCTTTGTCTTCATACACTTTGAAAGGAAACAGTATGTAAAAGCTATATAAGGATGTATGTAAAAGCTATAGAACCATACCTCCTGCTCTTGCAGTGGTTTTGCCGATTTCCATGGCAAATCTGATTTCTATGGCTTGGACATTTCTCATTTTTACTTTTTCTCATTTCACAGATTTGCCAGTCCCTAAAGATCTGCTTGGAGACACACTGTGCTAATCGGCAAAGTTGGCCTTTCCTGTGCTTCTCTTAAAGTAGCCCATCCAGAAACACTGACCTTTTAGTTTAATAACGGTTTTGAGAAAATGTTCATATCCTGAGAGCTGGAAAGAGTGTTGTGAGCAGGGCCGTTTAAAATAGCGGTCTCCCAGAGGTATATCTTTTCCCTGGCGCACTTGGGGTCAGGCCTACCAGAAGAAATATGTTGTTGCTTTCTGTATTCTATTGATTTAAAAACAAATAACATGAAACTTAGATTTGCTAGAAACCCATTACTAGACTGGTTTATTTTCCTGCCTGGGCTTTGACTTGCTATTTTAGATTTTAAACTCACTATGCTCGATTATGTTTTATCTTTTGTTATTTTAAATTCTCATTTGTAGCTAAAGTAATTACTTTTTCAGGTGTGACCTTGGAAGTGAGACCCAAAAGTTGTGTGTATGTGTGTATGTGTGTATGTGTGTGTGTATGTGTGTGTGTGTGTGTGTGTGTGTGTGTGTGTTTAAGTTTTCATTTCCGGAAGCAGTTGGGGCATTGGAAAGACAGCTGTGCTTTGGACCCTTTACTGACCACAGTGATGCCCACCAGCTTCTCCCTTGGGTATACCTTCTTCAGCGGACCTAGAAGTGTCCCCCCCATTTGCATTGCTGCTGATTTTCCTCTGCAGCCCTCCCAGTCCCAGTTTCTACCCACCTGGGCTACCTGGATAGTACCACAGTTGTCTCCTTCTGCTTCTCACCTCTCCCCACAGCAGGTGGCAGGGCTGACTGTGATTGATAGGCAGGAGGGTGTAGGAAGAAGGCATTCCTTGAAGCTACTTTTTTTGCTTCTCTGCATCTGCAGTCTTTTCTGCCTGGCTTTCTTTCCATCCAGCCAGCTGGTCTCCCTTGGGTAGTGGGGTTCTTACTGTTCCATTCCAGATTGATCACATCATAATAAAAAGTTCAATTCTGCCCTGGCTGGTGCTCAGTGGTTAGAGGATTGGCCCACACTGAAGAGTCCTGGGTTCTATTCTAGTCATGGACATGCAACTCAGTTGTGCATGCAGTAGGCAACCAAACCATGTGTCTTTCTCTGTTTCTTCCTCTCTTTTACTCTCTAAATATCAATGGGAAAAATATCATTGGGTGAGGATTACCAAAAAAACAACTCACTGCTGATTTCAGTTTTTCTCTTGGTAAGAAGCCTCTCTGTAAGAGGCACAACATGTATTGTGAAGATATGAGACTATATTAGCGGCTCACTTAGCAAACTGATCTCATTGCTTCATGTTTAGACCTGGTACACTGACATCTTTTGAAGCCTAGCTCTTATGGGCTAAATGGAATTCAGTTGCATTGTGATTGAGAATTTGAATTTTGCCAGAGAAAATTTTTGTTGTGGCAATTTACAACAATCTAGGGCAGTGGTTGGCAAACTGGCTGGTGAGCCACATGCGGCTCTTTGGCCCCTTGAGTGTGGCTCTTCCACAAAATACCACGAACCGGTGCGCATGTAGAGTGTGATTGAAAGTTTATGGCTTATACACAGAAATCGGTTTTCAGCTCTCAAAAGAAATTTCAATTGTTGTACTGTTGAAATTTGGTTCTGTTGACTAATGAGTTTGCTGACCACTGATCTAGGGGCAGTGGCATGATTTTACAGGTACAGTTTGGCTGTGTATTGGATCCTGATTGGTCTGTTGAACTTCAGAGAATAGTTTTATCAGATAATATTAATTGATTAACTATTTGTTTCAATTTTTGCTGATAGAGTTAGTAGTTCTGAGCACCTCCAAAAAATGAATAGTCATGTTTTTTGCTTGTTTATGGGAAATAGATGAAAATGTGAAAATCATTACCTTGTGGGCTGTGTAATCTAGAACTTCCAGCTGGCAGACACTGATGTAACCCACCAGTTTTCCTTTTGGATGAGGAAATAAAAAATCAGGTAGATTAATTGATTTATGCAAAGTTCAGCTGATAGAGAAACAAAGAGTATTCAAACTCTTTGCTGAGCTGTTACTAATTTCACTTTTACTTGTATTTTCTAAAACTTTTAATAGTGAAAAGTTATAAGATTTGCCTGAATGCAAACAATTCCCTGTTCTAGTTTTTTTTTTTCTCCTTGATTTTGTGTGACCTTTTCAAAGCAGAGATGTGCATCTCTTCTTCTACAGACTGTGAAGTTGGAGAGAAGCCAAACAGCAGCATGAAATATATATAGTTTAAAGGGACCCTCTAGAATAGGGGTGTCGAACTCAATCAGGGAAGGGGCCAAAATCTAAAAGCCAGCCTAAATCGCGGGCCGAATGGTTTACTGAACAGTCATAAACTGTCATTGTGATGGAAACGCAGCGGAGTGCAGTGATGACAGTGCGGTGCGGGCCACATTGCAAGGCCTGGCGGGACGGATTTGGCCCGCGGGCCTTGTGTTTGACACATGTGCTCTAGAACATCTATTTGAGAAAACTGCTGCCCAGTTAGTTTACCAATAAAAATTACAGTTTAGTGTTTTTGGTATATTTGCAGAGTTGTGAGATGACTCTCTCACTATCTAATTTTAAAACATTTTTAACATCCCCAAAAGAAATCCTTTCCCCAGTGGCTGTCTCTCTCCATTGTCACCTTCCTGCCACTCCTGGCAACCAGTCTAGAGTCCTTTCTTAGTCTATAGACTTGCCTTTTCTTGATATTTCATATCAGTGAAAGCATACAAGTTGTGTCCTCCTTTCACTTAGCATGATGTTTCAAGGTTCATCCATGTGGTAGCGTCTGCCAGTATTTCATGATTTCCATGGCTGAATAATATCACACTGAATGGATATACCGCATATTGCTTATCCATTCATCAGCTGATGGGCATTTAGGCTGTCTTCATTTTTGAGATGCTATGAATAATGTCATGTACAACTTGTTGTATAGACATATATTTTCAAGTTTCTTGAGTACCGAAGAGTGAAAATGCTAGGTCCTGTGGTCGTTTTGGTAGCATTTTGACGACCTGACTATCTCTTCTACAGTGATTGCATCATGTTTCACCAACAATTTATGAAGGTTCCAGTTTCTCCACATTTTCACTAACACTGTTATCATCTTATTGATTATAGTGGATTCAAATTGGTGTATTACTGCAGTTTTTAATTGCATTTCCCAAATGACAAATGTTGTCCAGCAATTGTTCATGTGCTTATTACAGTTTGTAACACTTCTTTAGGAAAATGCATATTCATGTCTGTTCCCATTTAAAGTTGTCTTCTTATTGTTCTGTTATACAAGTTCTTTGTACTTTCTGGATACAAGTTAATTGTCAGTTATGTGATTTGCCAATATTTTCTCCCATCTTATGGGTTGTCTTTTCACCTTCTTGATGTCCTTTGATGCTGTTGTTTTTAAATAGTCCTAAAGAAAAACATCCTTAAGACCTTTCATGTATCTTCTTTGTTATTGCCCAATGTCAGCACAATTTAAAAAGGCTTGTGCATATCTTATTGTAACTCATTTTTTTGTCTGTGCCCTGAGACAAGGCGCTTGTAAATCATCAAGTAGAGTGTTGTTGCAGAGCAGACAGTGCTGTTTAGGTTTCCATCTAATATACTACCATTTGAAATAATAGGTCCATTGTGACTTTCTAGATCCTCCCATGCGTTTCTGGTGCTTTCTTGGTCATAATTTTGGGTAGTGAATTTTAGTGAACAGGAAATAGTCTCTGCTTATTATTTTTGTGGAAGGCTCTGAAGGAGTCTATAAAATTTATCTATTTTGTTCGCTATTTAGCTATAAGAATCTTTACAAAACACATCGTACAGAATTTTCTAATTGTAAAGACCAGATGTTTCACATCAAGTCACCAGGTCTATAAGAGGCTCCAGCCAAGTTCTCAGCACTGTTCTGAAGTCTCTCTCCAGTTGCTGGCACTTGAATTTGAATGACATGTATTCCAAAAAATAGGTTTCAAAATGTCCACAAATGCCTTTTTCTCATAAATTACAGAAAAATGAATATAAGCACAAATAATTTTCTTTCTGTAATAAGTGACTTTTAAAAAATGTTTAGTTATCAGAGTAAGAGTGTTTTGGTATAATTTTCCTTACATCTCTCTCTCTTCCCTTTATATGTGATTGTTAGATTTTTTTAAAATATATTTTATTGATTTTTCACAGAGAGGAAGAGAGAGATAGAGAATTAGAATCATCGATCAGCTGCCTCTTGCACACCCCCCACCGGGGATGTGCCCGCAACCAAGGTACATGCCCTTGCCTGGAATCGAACCCGGGACCTTTCAGTCCGCAGGCCGACGCTCTATCCACTGAGCCAAACCGGTCCCGGCGTGATTGTTAGATTTTAGTGATAGGATATCCTTTTAAAGAATTTGTACTTAACGACTCAGTCCCCATGGACAGTAAGGAGCTCCTTGAGCTTATTCTAAATCTTGGCAGGTGTGGAAATTTCTAGGTCACCAGGGAACTCTTGATTAAGTTACTGCTGAAATGCACTAATTGGTCTTTTCCATAGTGCTTAGATGGTCCCAAGGAGACATTGGCCAGCTGGCAGAACTTTGCCCTTTAAGCTCCAGTTTCAGCTTCGTTTTTGTGAGTATTTCCTTGGTTTTTGTTTTTAAGAAATCACTAAATCATCTCCTTTTGCTCTTTACTGATTCCAGTTTCTGATGAAGAACTGAAGAGAAGAGTAGCCGAGGAACTGGCCCTGGAGCAAGCCAAGAAAGAGTCTGAACACCAGAAACGGTGAGTTTCCTGCCAAGCAGGAGATTTGGGTCGACTTGTTATAATTATTAAGTATTTTTAGAGAGGAATAATTGTAGTAAGACTCATTATTTGTGTTTGGCTGAATTTCAGAATGTGCCGAGCATGTGAACTTGGCCATTTTCGGTTTTGGATTGTGCTTATTAAAGCCCTAGGTTGCCCTTTCCCCAATCTTGGTTATAAGTGTCCATTAAGTCTTTTGTGTGATTCTTTATTGCACGAATACTGACTGAGCTCTGTTTTCTCAATAATGTGAGAAGTAGTTCTTGAGGATTCTCCAGGAATTTCACAGGCTAGTTTCTTTCAATGAATGTAGTTAGGGTTGAAAATTATATTGTCTACTGTGGTTATGAAGGTTAGCAATATTGTAGCTATTAATGAATGCCATGTATTATCCATAGTGCCCATATTAATAAATAGCACTAGTTAGTAATATACTCACTTAAAAAAAAACTGAAGATATATCAGACATATGTCATGTTGAAAAATCAAAATCTTCTATAATTCCATTCAATGGAGAAAATCAATCTTGAATGTTTTATTCCTCTAGATTTTTTCTATATAAATACTACTACATTATTTTTGTCATTATTAAAACTACTACTACTACTACTACTACTAACAGTTAAATAGTTCATTGAAGTGTTCTTGTAATAGTAGAAAACCAGAAGTAATTCATATGACCATCATAGAGAACTGGATGACTGAGTTATGGCACATGTCTCAATACAATACTAGATAGTCAAGTAGATCCTTATGTGCTGATTCAAAAAGTTGTTGAGAGCTATAAACCGAAAAACATACAGTATTCAAAACAGCATAGATAATTTTCTTTTTGGGTAAAAGTACTACTTTTTAAAGACCTTTGAAGTACAGTTATTCATAAAAATGTGCCAATACTTTTTAATCTAAGATAGAGTCAAGTGCTTTCCATCTGTGCTACTTCTGAAATTTGCATACAGCACAGAACATTACTGTTATATGATCATGCAAATGTCTTTCTGCTGTGAGCACTAAGCACATGCCCGCCATCAGTGGATGCTTAGTGTGTGCTTGTTTTTGTTTTGGTTGCTTAACTGTTTTGCTTGGGAGAGCTAAATGTAAAGAATCTTTGAGTTGTATTCTCGTGTTCAATGGCCATAGGTCCTTCAACATATAATCAATCTAACCTCTTTGGGCCTTAAATATTTCATCTCTAAAATTTCTTTTTTGATATAAGTGTTAAGCTACCTCCAGTTTGCTTTTGAAATGTATGAAATAGAACATAAGCTTTAGATTAAGACTGCCATTTTCTCCAGGAAATAAGTTTAGGGTTTTAAAAATCATGATGTAGTTAGTGTATACTTCTGTAGTTTTCCACATAGCACTTTATAATTATTTAATTGGGTTAGGCTGATGGAGTATGTAATTAGATGGTGAAGTTCAAATATTCCAAAAAATTCAGACCATTTTCTTTAAGAAGCAAAGAAAATCAATATATTATGGTAGAATTTCTTATCTTTGAAATTTTATTTTAATTTTGTTTTAATAAGGAGTTTTTTTTGGATTAAATTCATGTTTACTTTGCTTATTATATTTCACATAGAAATTTTTTGTCTTCTCTTCTCTCCTTATGGTACAGGATTCTTATAATAACTCTCACTCTAGTGTTTTCTTTTCTTTCTTTATTCTTCCTTTTTTATTCAGCTTCCATTTGCTTTGCCTTGGTCTGTGAGAGGTAAAGGGCAGATTAGATGAATAAAAGGTGCCAGGGAGAGCCAATATCTCAAGTGGACTGGGGTTGGCAGCCTAGCTGTAACCTGGACAAATGACTATTGATAAAGAATTTATTTTCTGTCACCTTAAAGGAGAACAGAGGGTGGTATCACCTTTTTATTATTATTTTTTTCTTTTAAAAAATGTTTTATTTGAAGCCTTCCTCATGAAAACTTCCAACTGTCAAATCTTGGCACAAAGTGTGTGTTCATCTATGTGATAGTTTTTAAGAGAATCAATAGCTATTTTTTTTTTCTTTTGTACCAGAGAAGAAACTTTTTGAAAAAGCATTAAGAAAGTTTTGTGTGCAGTCTTTGCAAAGCAACTTTTTGGTGTCAAGGCATTTATACATTACTAGAGGCCTGGTGCGCAAAATTCATGCATGGGAAGGGAGGGGGAGAAGGAAGGGGTCCCTCAACCTGCCTGCATCCTCTCACAATCTGGGACCCCTCGGGGGATGTCCGACTGCTGGTTTAGGCCTGATCCCACAGGAATCCCTATGGGATTGGGCCTAAACCCACAGTTGGACATCCCTCTCACAATCCGGGACTGCTGGCTCCTAACCACTCTCTTGCCTGATCATACCTAACCCCTCTGCCTGCTTGTCTGATTGCCCCTAACCACTCTGTCTGCCTTCCTGCTTTATTGCCCCTAACTGCTTGCCAGCCTGCCTGATTGCCCCTAATTGCCTCTGCCCCCACTGCAGCAGCTTCACCCAGAAGGATGTCCAGCTGTCCAGTCTAATTAGCATATTATGCTTTTATTATTATAGATTGTATCTGTTGCTTTAATTGAATGAAGCCTTGTAAGCAGTTTTAGAGAGTTTCTTGCACCACTGTTTCAGCAATCCTTGTGTCATCTATACATACCCCTACTCACTCTACCTATGTGGTGAGTGATATGGAGAAGCCGTAACATTTCTAACAGGCTGGTGAACTTTGTGGCAGGAAATACTCTGAAATGTCTTTTAATAGGGTAGCTTAAATAAGAATCTTGTTCGGTCAGAATTTTTTGGTTGAAAGATTGAAACTTAACTCTGCTTAACTTAGGAAGCAAGGGGATTTTTAGAAGCATTTTGGAAAGCTCAAAAGAATCAAAAGGAAGACTAGAGAACCCCAGCTAGGGAAGAACTGGTTACTACTAAGTTACAACTAAGAAGTACTTATTCAAAAGAAAATCAGGATAAGCATTCCATAACAAAAAGAAAAATATGTTTGGTGGCTGAATTTCATTGAATTGAAGATACCATTTATTATAAGAAGCACTAGGACCTGTTGCAGGAAGATTCCTGTGCACTAGCGAGCACTGCTGCTACCCTCTCCAATCCACCCCACCCCACCCGCCCATGCATTCCCTCTGGCAGTGGCCTTGCTTTCTGCTTTTCCTCCCTCTTCCTTGTATGCTGTCTTTAGTTTTCACTCCTCTCCCGCCATCTTTGTTGGGTTAATTTGCATACTCACTCTGGTTGTTTGTGGGTATAGCAAAGGTACGATCAATTAGCATTTTTCTCTTTTATTAGTGTAGATTGTATTTGATGTACCACAAGAAAAAAAAATGCTGCAAATTGTAACACAATAGTTTATCTCTTAGAATTTTCTTATTGAAGGATCTCATTAAGAATGACTGATTTTTTTTAAAAAAGAACAACACCTACATATTCAAAAAAAAGAAAAATATAACAAAAGTAAATAGGTTAAGGCACTGTTCTCACCTGGGGGAGATTTTTGTCCCCCGAGGATATCTGACAGTGTCTGGAGACATTTTTGGCTGTCACAACCTGTCAGGTGTTATTGTTATCTAGTGGGTAGAGGCCAGCAATACTATTAACCATCCTGGTGTACAGGACAGCTCTCACCTCTGCCCCTGCCCAGAACAAAGAATTATCTGGCTCAAAATGTCAATGTGCTGATAGTGAGAACTCCAGGGGTAAGGTGTTCTTAAAAACCAGCTCACATTGGGTCTAGTTCTTCTGAATCACTTCTTGACTCAGGGTTTTGCTGTCCTTTTTCCTCCCATCAAAACCTTGGCGATACAGCGTTCCTGGAATGATTGCTCCGCTGCTGTTCCTGGGATTTTTCCAGGCTGCTGACACCAGTTTTTGCAAATTGTGATGCTTATGCTCAAGTTCTGACAACTGCAGGACAGCTGCCTGGCATACAGCAGTGTAAGATGCTCTTAGGCATGTGAAACATAGAAAAATATCGTCCTAGGGCTATATTTGGTCAATACAGTCCATGTACACTCTGGACCATACATTGATGGCATTGGAAATGACTTCTTGTGTGTCTTGCCTTTCTCCCATCTAATGCCAAAGCCCTTTTACAGCCTCTCTGATTGGTAGTGCCACATTCATTTAGATCCCATTTAAAGTCATTTAACCTGAAGATATATCATTAGGCCATTTAAAATTAACCTGAATTCCTTTAAGTCTCCACTCTTTACTATGCAGATATGCAGTTGCTTTAAAGAAATTTCCTGCTAGTCCACAGTGATGGTGCAGCTAATTGTAAAGCACTGTGACTGTATGTGTTGTATTCTCATTTCTAAAAACCATTTATTCATGAAATCTCAAGTTATCTTAGATCTGTTTTATGAGACTCTTGAGTGATTTGCTTAGTTAACAAAACCATGCCCCAAAATATCACATAATATTAGTACATGCACTAAACGTTGAATTTAATTTGGAATTATAGTTTTGCTTATCACAACATCTAATGGAGGGAATAGTTGTTTGGTGTATTGGGAGTCCAGAGTAAATTAAATGCTCATGTCAGCAGTCTGTTTTTGCTGTAACACTCTATGGTGTGGTTTGGATAATAGCTGACCATATTGTGTAACTATAGCAGGCCAATATAGCAGGGACATAATGTGCCCCAGTGTGAGTACAGACTTTTAAAATGTGATTTGCTTCTCTCCTGTGCCCTGCCTCCAAAAGTCAGTCTTTGACAGCAAGAATAATGTGACTGCTTCTGACCTCTGACCTTTGGCTTTTGAATTTCACCTCTTTACCCATAAAAGCAAGTGAAAGTGTTTCAGTTTTAATAACTTTTCTTCAAGAAAACAAGAAGAAGGGGAATACCTACTTGCTATTGTAAGTAGCTACACATCAACCAAGATTACTTGCTTGCTGTTTTTAAATGGACAACTGATGAGATTTCCCCCACTTTAAATTACTTGGATAATTAACATTAGATATTTGAGCTGTACACTAATTAATTTGATTTAAT